AGTCAGAACGTGCTGATCATGGACCCCAGTTCTACAGGGACGATGCAGCGGATACAGAGTGAAAAGAGCATCCTGGATGAACCAGACTCTCCTCTAGAGGTTAGACATTCTTCCACTTTGTTTTATGAGAGTTAAGTGTCTTAATGCGTTTTGTCACTGATAATCATTGTTCAGCACCTCAGACAGAGGCAGTAGCCAGTTTCCCTTTACTGCTCTCATACAGTGTATTGTTTCACATTATAATAGTACACTTTCATGTTATTCTTATTTAATTTCTTAATATCATAATCTTAAAAAAATCCACAGATCATAGCTTTGCTTTTCTTGTAATTTCACTCTTTGAACTCCGTGGGCCGCTGTTGGTCAACGTGTTGCAGTTGCTGGCAGGATCAGAAGCTGATCCTCCCATGTCATGTACGTATTTTAGAGAAAGAAAGGGAGAGAAAGCACCGTTCACAGAGAGATAACCCACGAGACGGACACAATAAGCTCTTTCCAAATAATTGTGGATTATATGGACATTTATTTCTTCAATTTCACACGGAGATGTTTTTATTTTGAAATCGAGTGTTTTATCTTTTTTCTGTGGCAATTCTTTGACTGAGGATAGAACAATGAGACGGCAAGTATTGTTTTTCATCTCGATCTTGTCCCTCGGTCCAGTTCTCGGACAAGTCAGCTACTCTGTTCCAGAGGAAATGGCAAAGGGCTCTGTGGTGGGCAACATAGCACGGGATTTAGGTTTAGATGTGAAACGATTAAAGTCAGGTAAAGCTCGTATATTTTCGGGCGACAGTGCAGAATATATCGAGCTGAGCAGAGACAGAGGAGTCCTCCTGGTGAAAGAAAGAATAGACAGAGAGTCGCTCTGCAGACAGACGACGCCTTGTGCTTTGCATTTGCAGATTATTTTAGAGAACCCAATGGAGCTTTTCCGAATAACAGTAGAAATCACCGACATCAACGACAACAGTCCCAGTTTTAAGAATGACGAGAAACGTTTTGAAATTAGCGAATCCGCAGTTGTGGGATCGAAATTTGTGTTAGAACGAGCGGTCGACGCAGACATCGGCATAAATGGCCTGAAAAATTACAGCTTGAAACCTGCTGACAATTTCGTTCTGAAAACACAAAGTCAGGCAGATGGAAATAAAAAGGTCGAAATGGTTTTACACAAACCGCTGGATCGAGAGAGAGAGGAACAAATATCGCTGCTGTTAACAGCTGTGGATGGAGGAGAACCGCAGATGTCTGGGACAGTAAAGATTTACGTGACTGTGTTGGATGCGAACGACAATGCTCCTGTTTTTACGCAGTCGGTTTACAAGGCGGCCATCGCGGAAAATTCACCAAAAGGAACGACACTGACCACAGTGAGTGCTTCTGATGCAGATAAAGGGACACACGGGGACGTTACCTATTCAGTGTCGACCACGATGGACAGTGTGTCTGATATATTTTCAATAAATGACAACGGCGAAGTGATATTAGTTGGTGAAGTCGACTTTGAAAAAGAGAAGTATTACCAGATTGATATCGAAGCTAAAGACAGTGGTGGTCTTTCGGATTCTAGTAAGATTGTTGTGGATGTTATTGATATTAATGATAATAAGCCTGTGATCAGTATACTTTCCAAATCAGATTCAATCCCTGAAAACTCCCCACTAAAAACAGTTATAGTTATTTTTAGTGTCCTTGACCCAGATTCAGTTAACAATGGTCAAGTAAACTGTAGAATAAATGGCTATATACCATTTACTATAACCAGTTCATCAAATGATTTCTATAGCTTAGTGACAGACAGTGAATTAGACCGAGAGACCGCATCTGAGTATAATATCACAGTGAGCTGCTCTGATGAGGGAGTGCCCTCCCTCTCCAGCAGCGTCACTCTCACCTTACAGATCTCTGACGTGAATGACAA